TTTGTTTTCTTTGTTGTAAGACGGCAGTGAGTGACGCAACCGGAAACTGTAGTGCGTGAGCTCGCAAAAGTTTCTCGGGAGCACGTGATAGTCTGTGTATTTTTATTTTTGCAAAGGTCCCTTTAGGGGCTTCGTAGAAAACAGTTATTTTTAAATTGTAATAATATTTCACAATATTAATGTTTTTACTGTATTTTTGATCAAAAAAATTCTAAGTAATGTCACCCACATGAGCACTTTTCCTACTTTCCATTCTACTTGGAAAGTCTAAATTTACATTTGGAAAAGGGCAATAGAACGTTATTTGAAAACTTGCGCAAAACCCCAAAATATGCAGGTGTAAGATGAATGTTATAGAACCCTTTTAAAAAAATAAAACACATAATAATTCATAAATAAATTATTTAATATGGGAACTACAAATAAGTAAATAAAAATAATTGGTTAATTAAATAGATAAAATGATATAAATTTAAAAATAAACAGTTATTTATTTATGTATTTATTTCCTAAAAATGAAGAGTTTTAATTTAGAGGTAAGGTTAAGATTAGTCAGTAGTCAGTTGCACAAGTGCCACTGAGCAATATTGGAGCATGTGCACTATTCACCAGGCCACATCTCTGACAAATTTGTAGTAATTCAAATTGGATTAATTTTGATATGTGGCTATGGTATGTATGTTATATAGTTACACAGCCAGTGTGACACTTCTCAGGTTGATGGAGATCCATTCAGACACTGATGTTAAAAGCACAGTTCCCATTAGGCTCAGTGTTTCAGTGACTGCACACACACACACACACACACACACACAAATGAACCACCACATTCATCCCCTGTGGTAGGTGTGAATGCTGATAGATTGAGATATTATGAAAAAGAGAGTGGAGGAGAGCAGAAGTTTGTAGACATCCCCCTGTGTGCCACCAAAGTGATCTCTATGACAAATGGCCTCTGTTGATTTCTCACAGATACGAGCACATGCAGGGTGAATAATACATGAACACTCAATCATCTGGTACTGAGACGTTCATCTTTTCATTTCATAAAATGTGAGAATGAAAAATGTGAAGGGATAGTTCACCCAGAAATGACAACTGCGTCATCATATACTCACCCTCCTGCCATTATTTAAAGGGGGTGATCCAACTGTATTGAATAATTATAGGCCTATTTCGAAATTGTCTATTTTATCAAAGGTTTTGGAATCGCTTGTGAATGATCAATTAAAAGAATTTCTATCTTCTAAAAATGCCTTCTCAGAGTTCAAATTCGGTTTTAGGAAACAACATAGTACATCCACAGCAATTATAAAAGTATTAAATGATTTAATGGTTTCATTGGATAATAAAAACCATAGTGCTGCTCTTTTTATCGATTTATCCAAAGCTTTTGATTTCGTAGATCATAAAATTTTGAAGCAGAGGCTACTTAGTGTAGGTTTATCAGTAAATACTGTCGGATGGTTTGTTAATTACTTATCGGATAGATCTCAATGTATAAATATAGAGGGACTCACTTCTTGTACTCTGAATGTAAATATCGGCGTACCACAGGGATCAGTCCTTGGGCCATTATTATTTATTTTATATATTAATAATATTGGGAATAATCTCGCACATTCAAATTTTCATTTATACGCTGATGATATGGTGATTTACTCCTCTGCATCAACATTGGATCAGGCTCTGAGTCATCTTCAATCTGATTTTGATGCATTTCAACATACACTGAGTGATTTAAAACTTGTTTTAAATGCAGAGAAATCTAAACTTATGATGTTTACAAAAAGAAAGTCTGCAATTTCAAACTCGTGCTCAATCACTATTCTTCAAGGTTTGGAGATTGAAGTAGTATCTAAGTATAAATACTTGGGATTTTTAATTGATGATTCTCTTTCTTTTGGGCCTCATATTCAGTACCTTGTGAGAAAATTAAAGTCGAAACTGGGCCTTTTTTTTAGAGTCAAGTATTGCCTTTCTTTTGCAGCAAGGAAGAGATTGGTAGCAGCTACATTTTTGTCAGTGTTGGATTATTGTGATATCATATACATGCAGGCACCTAAGCATTGTTTACAGGCGTTGGATTCAGTTTATCATGGAGCATTAAGGTTCATCACAAATTCAAAAGTGACGTGACATGTGGCCAAGTATGGCGACCCATACTAGGAATTAGTGCTCTGCATTTATCCCATCCTAAGTGCACACACACAGCAGTGAACACACACCCGGAGCAGTGGGATGATCAATTAAAAGAATTTCTATCTTCTAAAAATGCCTTCTCAGAGTTCAAATCCGGTTTTAGGAAACAACATAGTACATCCACAGCAATTATAAAAGTATTAAATGATTTAATGGTTTCATTGGATCATAAAAACCATAGTGCTGCTCTTTTGATCGATTTATCCAAAGCTTTTGATTTCGTAGATCATAACATTTTGAAGCAGAGGCTACTTAGTGTAGGTTTGGATGGTTTGTTAATTACTTATCGGATAGATCTCAATGTATAAATATAGAGGGACTCACTTCTTGTACTCTGAATGTAAATATCGGCGTACCACAGGGATCAGTCCTTGGGCCATAAGTCACCTGATTGTAAATGTTTTTAGTGATTTGTGTATGTTTCTGTGTATGTAAACAAATGTATTTTGTTGTATGTGTAACTAAATGTGCTGCCTATCTTGGCCAGGACCCTCTTGTAAATGAGATTTTAAATCTCAAGAGTTTTTAATTTCCTGGTTAAATAAAGATAAATAAAAAAATAAATTGCAAACCCTTATTATGATCTTTTCTGTTCCTTCCAGAGCAGAAAAGGATTTCAAGCTTCTAAAAGGATGTAGGAGCACAATGAAAGTATCATAAAGTGATACATATGACTTGCACACTACATTTCAAGTATTTTATAGTATGTATTTTTTTAAAGAAATGGATACTTTTATTTATGAAGGATGGATTAAATTGATCAAAAGTGACAGTTAAGACATTTAAAAAAGATTTCTATTTCAAATAAATGCTGTTCTTTTGAACTTTCTATTCATCAAAGAATCCTGAAATCATGCATTATGTTTTCCACAAAAAATAATAAGCAGCACAACTGTTTTCAACATTGATAATAATAGGAAATGTTTCTTGAGCACCAAATCAGCACATTAGAATGATGTGGATCATGTGACACTGAAGACTGCAGTAATGATGCTAAAAATTCAGCTTTGCTATCATGGAAATAAATTACATTTTAAAATATATTCAAATAGAAAATAGTTATTTTAAAATGTAACACTATTTCACAATATTGCTGTTTTTACTGTATTTTTGAGCAAATAAATGAAGCTTTGGTGAGCATAAGACTTTCAAAAACAGCTGCCCTACACTCTCAGAAAAAAAGTACAAAAGTTGTCACTGGGGTGGTACCTTTTCAAAAGGCACACCTTTGTACCTAAAGAGTCCATATTAGTATCTAAAAGGTACCAACCCTAGTGACAGCTTTTGTACCTTTTTTTCTGAGAGTTTATGTGCATTCATGATTGTTTACAAGAGATGTAAAAATCTCCATTTTATGTATGAATTATGTGTTTTGAGTCAGATTTTTTCAATGAATGAGTTGATCCAAATCACTGAATGATGCATCTATGAAGTAGGGCAGATAATTTATGTGCATAATAACTTATATTTCTCTCTGTTACACACAAAGCACTGTATGGCTTCAGAAAACTTGAGTTGTATGGACAACGTGGAAACATTTATGGTGCTTTTGCATTTTTTTGAAGCTTGAAAGCCCATTCATTGTCATTTGATGGAAAAAGTGATCAACACATTCTTGTATTATATGTAAGAAATGCCACGAGTGTGAGTATTTCTTGGAACTATCCCTTTAATAATTTTTTTCTAGATTATTTACTAATTACCCCTTCCTTTTTTTCCAAAATGTAAAACCTCCTTAAACCCACTTAGACTTGTAGGTTCAATACTGAGTGAAAAAATACACACACATAAAGAACACAGGAAGGAAGGTAATGTACGTCTTGACATGATCCGTTCAAACACACTGTGAAGTCACCACTGAAATTGTAGCAATGCCGAGAAAGAGATATGTGACCCTGGACCACAAAACCAGTCATAAGGGTCAATTTTTGCATGATGTTGATTACAGGGAGGATATTGGTTGTGTTACTGTACTTTGCAATCACTTAACCTCACTGCTATTCTCTCTCCCCCACACAAACACACACCTGGTGACTAAAGTCGAGATGATGTCCGTGATGGTGCTGTTGAGTTCGGTCAGCAGCTCTTCGATGGGGCCGGGAATGGGCAGCTGCTGTCTCAGATGCTCCGCCCTCCGGATCTGCTGACGATTCTGCCAAATGGTTTCCGCTAGCTTCTCACACCTGTGCACAAACACACGCAGAAATGTCAACCCGAAGCATAAACTACAGAGCTGCTCTCTGCATATGTTGTGTATGTGTAATGTAAACGCACCACAACACGCACATGCCTCTGATTATTTGCATAACTTAGTGTCTTAGTGTGTGTATTGCTTTATTTTACTATGCACTGGGACAAATTTGCCCCAGAATATAGCTAAATATAAGAAAACCTCCCTATATGAAAATAAAATAAAATAAAATAAACGGTTTGGCTTAATCTGTAGTATTTATAATTAGCTTTAGCTTTAAAAACAACAGATGTCTATGGTATGTCCTCAGTTAGGCTAAGTAAACGTGTGCTCACCATGACTGTAGTATGTCCAGTCCTCCCTCGGGCGGCCCGCCGTTGCCAGCCAGTTGTTGACGTCTCTTCCACTGAATCAGCTCGTCGTCAAGAATCACCGTCTGCTGTTTCCGTAGCAATGCCAGTGTCTTCTGGTGTTTCTCTGCCAAGCCCTGAGCACATATACACAAGCTCATGTAACACCACATGAACAGACGTGAACATATGTGCTGTACTCGTGTAAATAACAATGGCCCTCAGGTTTAGTGCTGTACTTGAAAATGTCATCCCTGCATATGTCAAGACAAATGAAACATATGCAGGGATGAATCGTTCACAATAAGAGCATCAAAGTGAATTTTCATGCCGACTCTAAATGTTAGTTGGTTATCCAATCAATAGGTAAATTACATATAGATGGCCTTAATTTACAGTAGCAAAAACAGTTTAAATGGCCAGAAAAAGTTTTAAAAAAGGGTGTGTGGGGGGGGTGGGTAATGTGTAACTACATTTTTAAGGGAGAAAAATACACTATAGTTCAAACGTTTTGGGTTGGCAAGAGTTTTTATAATGTTTTTGAAAGTAGAGTCTAATGGCTGCATTTATTTAATCAAGAAAGAAAGAAAGAAAGAGTAATATTATGAAATATTATTACAATTTAAATTAAGTGTTTTCTATTTGAATATATTTTAAAATGTAATTTATTCCTGTGATGGCAAAGCAAATGACAGCAGCCATGACTGCAGTCTTCAGTATCACATGATCCTTCAGAAATCATTCTAATATGCTGATTTGGTGCTCAAGAAGCATTTCTTATTATTATCAATCTTGAAAACAGTTGTGCTGATTAATATTTTGAAACTGTAAAATCTTTTTTTAGCATCTATTTGAAATAATAATCATTTGCAACATTATTACTGTCTTTACTGTCACTTTTGATCAATTAAATGTATCCTGGCTGATTAAAAGTATTCACTTATTAAAAAAAAAAAACATAGTAACCCACAAACTTTTGAGCAGGAGTGTATAACGCTACAATGTTTACGATATGCCCCTGTAAAGCATGTGCTACTAATGTTACAGTCTGAGTGTTGTATTATGCTAATGCTATGCACACTATTCACTCGGAGCGTGTGTGTACCAGTCTGTATTTCTGCAGGGTGTTGGCCTCTCGGGTCAGCCAGGCCTCTACTGTGGCTCTCTTGCTGAGCAGGCTGGGCTCTCGTAGCTGTCGGTCTGCTGGAGGCAGCGTGGCCAGACTTGATAACTGAGCTGCGCACAACAGAAAGGAGGATTTAGTCCACAAAGATGAGCTTTGCTGACAAAATAAATAAAAAAATGACTCCCATAATTTTGTGTGTAGAAGAGCAATCTGGGTATGAAAAAGTGTGACAAGCGCAGTTTTCTTTCCTGTGCTTTTCATTGTATGCATGCTTTTCCTGTATTTTCATTTCTTTTTTATTGCAATTATCTTTACGAATAATGTTTATTTATAAATTATTACACCAAGAGATCTAAATTCAGACTTAAAGGCATAGTTCACCGAAAGATGAAAATTCTGTCATCATTTACTAATCCTCAAGTTGTTCCAAACCTGTGTGAATTTCTTTCTTCTGTTGAGCACAAAAGAAGATCTCTTGAATGTGGGTAACCAAACCATTGCTGGTCGCCACTGACTTCCATAGTATAGAAAAAAATATTTACAGGGGAATTCAATGGGGACCAGCAATAGTTTGGTTACCCACATTCTTCAAAATATCTTCTTCTATGTTCAGCAGAAGTTCATACAGGTTTGGATCAACTTGAGGATGTGTAAATGATGGCAGAATTTAAATTTTTTGGTGAACTATCCCCTTAAAACTGGTTTGATTTGTTATTCAGTGGCATTCTCAGAAATTATGGGAGCCTACAGGCTGTTTTAATAAGGACATTTTTGCTGTATTATGTACTGAATGATAAAATAGTCTGTGTATTTGACTGCACACACACGACTGTCTGCTGGTTGTGTGTGTGTGTGTGTGTGTATGTGTGTGGCATTCCAAAGCATTACTGCTAACAACACCAAAGTTCGATTCCCAGGGAATACATGAACTGATGAAATGTGAATCTTGAATGCAAGGTAAGTCACTTTGGAAAAAAAGCATCTGTCAAATGTATAAATGTAAATGAGTGAGGCTTTATACCCTGTATTCTGAGGCTCTCCTGGTACTGTATAATGAAGTACTCCTGGTTGTGCTGTAGTTTTCTGAGGTCATTCTCTGTGTCCTGAGTCAATACTCTAAGCTCCTCGAATGCCTGGTTTATCTGATGGTACTTCTGCGACATGCTGTCCATCAGGCTGCCCACCGGTGAGCTCGACTGCCAATCAAAGACACACACGAGTGACAACCAAGTTGTTCAACATTAGGTTTCACTAAAATTACGATCAGACTATTTCAGAAAAATGCAAGGAAACAGGATATAGCTTCATTCTGATGCGGAGTACAAAACTTTTTAGTTTTAATAACCTAGCAAGATGAAGAAGGGTTGGGGTTTGTAGATACTTTCAAAACAACCTGACAAACAGTTATACTACTAAAATCCCACAAACCAAAGCTTCAATATGTATAGTAGGACCTTATCCCTGTCCTGTTGTGTATCAATAATCAACCCAGATAAGGTTATTCGTCTATGCCCACGTAAGACTGGATGCACATGTACGTGTGTTTAAACAACTATATATTGTTTGTGTAGTGCATACATGGGATGTGAACATAAATATTATGTCTTTAAGTACAGGTGTGTCTGAGATGAGTGGGCGTTTTAATGTGTATGTAAGCTTCTAGATTTACTGATATTGTCTTTTATGATTGTCATGGTTGTCAATTGAGTTGATAAAACCTGAAATTTCCTCTTTTACTCTCATAAAACTGAGCAGGTATCATGAATTTGTGTGTAGGGGTAAATATGTATCTTCCTCTATGCATGCACAAAGCAAACACACAAACTTTATTTCTGAAGATTGTGAAAGTCAGTCATGTATAGTAGCCCTGTTTATTACCCATGATGGTTTTTTAAAGATGACCGAACTCCATCATTTAAAGATGACCATCATTTAAACCAAGAAGACAACATAGTCATCTCTTTTTTTAAATGTGTACAAATTACTTACAACTTTTTACAACAGTTATTACAACTTTTTAATGACTTGTTCAAAGTGTTAATAAATCACTTGAATACAGAGATAACTAAATTATGAGGTCTGGGAAATGTTCCCACACATTTTGACCAATGAAATTTTGTGGAGGTAAAAAAAAATGTATGAGAGGATTATATAGATATCTCAGGGTAGTTTTTAATTTCAATGTCAGGTAATAACTCTTGGAATTAACAGATTTATTACTATTACACTTATTAGTATAACAAAAAAAGCAACATACAGACTACAGTTCAAAAGTGTGGGGTCAGTAAGATTTTTATTGTAAGATATTAATTCTTTTATTCAACAGGGATGCATTAAATTAAAGTCACAGTAATTTTTTTTTACATTATTACAAAAAAAAAAAAAAATCAGTTTCAAATAAATACTTTTGAACTTTCTATTCATTAAAGAATCCTAAAAAAATGTATGGTTTCCACAAAAATATTAAACAGCACAGTTATTTTGATAATAGTAAGAAATGTTTCTTGAGCATTAAATCAGTATATTAGTATGATTTCTGAAGGATCATGTGACACTGAAGACTGGAGTAATGATGCTGAAAATTCAGCTTTCACATCACAGGAATAAATGACATTTTAAAATTAATTAAAATAGAAAGCAGTTATTTTAAATTGTATCAACATTTCACAATATTACTGTTTTTACTGTATTTTTGATCAAATAAATGCAGGCTTGATGAGCATAAGAGACTTCTTTCAAAAACATTACAAAATCTTGCTGACCCCATGTTTTTGAACGGTTGTATGTGTGTATACTCTGTGTGTATATAAATTATTCATTTGACTTTTAAAGGGCTAGAATTCACAACTTCCCTTATATTTCCAGGTTTTACATGATTGTGAGAACCCTGTATATGCCTCATTTGAAAACATAGTGATAAACAGCAACTTTTAACTAGAATTGCACTTCATTACAAAAAAAAGGAAGATGAGATTAAATTCATTCAAAATCAACCGTTATTTCACATAAACTGCCCTAATGAACCGACAGTCTGAAATAGATCTGCTTACTCTGTGTCTACTCACATTAGTCGCCTCTCTGACGAGTCTTTGCTCTGTATACAGGATGTGTTTGATGCATCTCACCAGCTCCAGGGGACAGCGGTCATACGTGCTCTGAAAACACACACACAATCAGAATAACCATCTACTCCATCTACTCTGCCATGTTTTACTTCAACACACTCAAGCACACCCCACAACACTAATGACAGTAAAAACTGAGGCTGCACTTTCCTGACTGACCTGTTCTTAGTAACAGCTTTACTGTCATGCACTGACATACTAAATGTCAAAAACGGTCTCATTTAGTTGTATCTATATTCTCTCATTTTATTTCTCCTAAGATATTATAAGAGAATCTATGTGAGTCTGAACTTTTTTTTAAACTAAATCTTTCCTGAACTGTATGCATAGAAAAAGAACAAGCAGAACCTTTAGCTGTGAAGCATAATGTCCTAATTTGATCTTGAGTAAGAAGCCGTCCTCTCCCACTTGATGCTCTGCTTTCTTCTGTAGTTCCTGGATCAGGCTGTCCAATAAACGCTTGGCTTTCAGCTCCTCCTGAGGGTTCTCTAAATCTATCGCGTCCCTGAAAGAGGACACAAGGACACACTCAATAACACCGACATATTAAAAAAATGACAAACTGACAGTTGCAGTTGCACTCTTCACATACCAGAGTTGTCCCTCTATCCACTGGGACAGGTAGTGTCGCACCTCTATGGGGAAGTGTTGCCCGTAGAGAGACTGCATCTGGTGTAGAGCATCTCCCTGCAGCTGCTGGGCCTGGATCCACACTGCCATGTTCACTCTGAAAGAGACAACAAGAGAGAGGGACGTCGGTACAGCACAAGAGACAAATGACAGCTGCGTAACATGAGAAATGCTGAAAGAGGGTAACAGGGAAAACCAAAGAGTTTGTCACGCTACCACAAACATGTTTAGGTCACATTTCAACCTAAAATTAAAAGAAAGAAATGAGAACCAACTCATTTGTCATACTGTAATGCTAAAATATTATTTTGTAATATTAATTTATTAAAAAAGGATTGTGTGTATATATATATATATATATATAAAGTAGTTTAATAAAATAATTTAAAGTAATTTATTAAAAATGATTATGTGTAGTAGTTATAAAGAAACATTAAATTTTTTTGTTTATTCACTTAATACTAATAATAATATCAATAATAATAATAATTAATTGAAAAAGTGTATATATACACACTACCGTTCAAAATATTTCAGTCTTCAGTGTCACATGATCCTTCAGAAATCATTTTAATATGCTGATTTGCTGCTCAAGAAACATTTCTTATTATTATCAGTGCTGAAAACAGTTGTGCTGCTTAACATTGTGGAAACAATTATACACTTTTTAAATTATTTTATTAATAAAAAGTTCAAAGAACACAACTGATTCGAAATAGAAATCTTTTGTAACTTTATAAATAGCTTTAATGTAACTTTCAATGTATCTTTGCTGAATAAAAGTTAAAGAAAAACATCTTATGGACCCTAAACTTTTGAACAATCGTGTATATAAGGAATTTTTGGCTCTATTTCTTTTTATTCATGTTGATTAAATATTTTTTTTTATTAATAAATGTAATAATAATAACATTTAAATTGTGAACTACAAATAAATCACCAATGTGAATAACAGGAATTTTTTTTTTAAAAGCTCATAAGCATAAAATCCAGAAAATGTATGCTTAATTGTCATGAAAATCTGATCTCCCACAGAACCTGAGTTTATCATGATGAAAACTATGCAGTGAGCACTAAGCCATGACACTAACACTGTGCATAGCCACTGTCACAGGAGCGTGTCTTGTGTCTTCAGATCACAGAATTTGAGGGAAAAGCTCCTGCGTAATATAGATGATGGTGGTAGCTTTCACAATACAAAGCATTGTGGGCTGTAATGTTGTGTCCAATCTTTTCACTCCTCATGGCTTTCCAAGAAAGGGGTCTGAATGCATTTAATGGGTTTATTGTGTAAACACAGCCACTTGTGAGAGCAAGAAGAAACTCATATAGAACAGAAGAAAACGTGAAGAGGAAGGAAATTAATGTGTTTAAATGAATCTCGTGCTCGCCTCAGACACAGACACACTGGGATGATCATACACAATAATTTATACTCATTTAAAGTACCACAAGTAAAAAAAATGTTAAGGAAACATAGGGAAAATGAGAAAACCTTCATAAAGCAAGATGAGAGGAACAAAAAAAAAACTGAGAAGCACTGAGAAAGAAGATACTGTTTATACTACAGACAGACCAATATTAGCCAGGCCGGTCGATCAATATTTGACAATTTTGAGAATACCAGCATCAAGTTGAATCGAAATTACACACTTCCCCTTTTAAATTCAACAATTTAAGTATATCTAATTTGCTATGATTAAAAAGTATTATATGTATATATCAGAATTATATCAGCCAGTTGGTCTCTAGATATCAGTATCATCCCGTATCAGAGTTAAAAACTCATACTGGTCAACCACTAGTCATTTGTGCATGTGCAGAGGTGTTGGCTTGTCTCTGTGTTTGTGTTTATTAAACTCACTGGTTTAAGCCGTCAACATATCCTCAGCATGGCTGCATGACTTGTGTGTCTCTCAACTACAAGAGCTGCATAAAACATCAAATTCCATGCACATAAACACACTCAAAACTACATATTGAAACATCACTCCCGGCGGGGTCATCTGATCAGTCCGCTGACAGTTTTTATGATGATGACTGCACAGTCTGAAATGAACCAGCAAAGAACCTCAGTGATGTTAGACTGAAGCATAATGCATTAAAGTGGACATATATTACACTTGAGTAGCATTTCATTTTTCCCCTAAAGCTCACTAAGCTTTTTTTTTTCCATATGGTTTCCCTGAAGTCTACAGATAGCTAGCTATAGATAGATAGATGCGTTTTGAAAAATACATTTTGTAAAATCTTTTTCATCATCATTGAAAACTCTGGTAAGAATATATCTTCCAAAATGTAAATGTGTAAGACAAAGCAGCAATTAAAATGACCATGTGAGAAACATTTGCATTCGATTTGCTTTTAAGGTGAGCTGTCACCTATGAGCACGAGCTTTCACTCAAAACGGAAGTAACTTGTAAAAGAAGAGAGTTCACAGCCCGCCTCTTCCTGTCCCACTCTCTCTCTCTCTCTCTCTCTGTGTGTGTGTGTGTGTGTGTGTGTGTGTGTGTGCGTACGTGCATACGTGTAAGCATGTGTTTGTTTCCAAGCAGTGCAACCGCACAGACATACATGTATTGAAAGCTGCACACCTACACAGAGACACAAAAAACACTGATTTCCAGTTAGCTTACCATACACATGAACACTACGCTTATAAAAAAAAGGCAGACACAAAAGCCACTCACTGCCAGTCAACTAACCACAAAGACAAACACTCAATTCCGGTTGATGTGATGGATTAAGGAGACTGATGTGTGACGTGATTTGGACGGTTGCTGTTGCTGAAATCAGGTCAGATGTCTGTGTGATCTTGTGAAGCATTCTTGACCCTGACAGCTCTCTGTACCCATTAACACTTCCTGTCACACCTCACACTAGACCTGCATTTCTCTCTTCACCACTCTATCAATCCTATTGGATATTTGTTGGCTGCTGATATTAGATGTTTAATTGTGTCCACATGTCTTAGAATTTAGATCATCATTGTCTAGCACTAACCTAAAAGGATAGATTTAACCCTTTAGAGGTCTACCTTTCGAAAAGTGCTTTCACTTTAAAAGTGCTTATTGACATGAGTTGGTGTGCTCAACACCAGCAACAACTGCAGAAAAAAAGAGTTAATCTTAGTTGTTTTTGGGTTAATCCATATCAGCCAAAATGCATATCAATTTTATACTATATATGCAATTTTAACTAGTGATACGGACCGTGTCTATAGTGTCATTGTGTCACCAGCCAATGACGTCATACACCCTCGATTTCCGGTTTTGTTTTGTAGAAAACATGGAAACACCAAAAACGTTTAAATATGTTGTGTGTTTTATTAGACAGGTGACGACCGCACAGAGTAGCATTATAACAGAACTTTCAAACGTATCAAGTATGATAAAATGTCAGTCGATTAAATAGTATAATTACAATAATAACATGATATTCTTGCAAATTAATTTCAAAAGAATGTAATAATATAGTCTGGATGTAAATATTCTACGTATTTTTCTTAGAATGTATTATGTTGGAATGTCAACCGATTCAAAGTTTAATTAGATTAATAACATGATATGCACTGCCCAGATCTCATACAGAATGTGACCACACATGTAGCCCTCAAGTCAGCTGACCTCTCTTGACAGTTAGAGCTTTGTGACTATAAGAGCCAAATAAGGTTGTCTGTGCAGCTCTGAACATCATACATCTGAAGAAGCCATTTTACATGAGGATACTCTTCTAGACTTCTCATCTGCATTTAACTACAGTGCCTTGTGCTCTTGAGCCTAAACTGCAGATAAAGCTGTGATTCTGTCACATTGTGAATTCTGGACTTTCTTCTCCTGCTGAGAGCAGTATGATAAAAAAACAGCAGCATTACTGTCTCATGCTTGTTTGTTTCTACTGGGGCTCCTTGAGGAACTATGATCCTCCCAGTGCTATTGTCTGTAAGTATAATATGAGGAATTCAGATTAGAGCTGTTAGAACGCAGATTATACGGCTCTGGTAGACCTGTCAGACTGCTCAGAACATTTTGAGACTACAGCTAGAAATATCCATGACCAGTAAGAACGAAGGAACAACTGCTTGACTTCAACAGAAACAACAGAGAGTCAGTGATAAACTGATTTTCACAGGAGCAGACAGAACTTGTGGTAAGATATACAGTCCTGGATAAGTAGCAAAAAAAAAAATGACATGTTGTTGACCTCTTGGATTCTAGAATCTCACTGCTAGCTCTGCCCACAGTGAAATCTCACTGGTTGAAAGTACCACAACACATAGCTGTATATTAATGTTCAAATATTTTCTGATACATCACATGGTTTCATTTTCATCATGGACAGACAAATTGCCTGTCACATTCTGCTTAAAAAACAGTGGTAGTAAACAGAGGTTTGAATATATGTAAATTTGTAATATGAACAATGTCCATGGCAAAAACTATCTAGGAATTAAAAAGTTTAAAAACTTCAGGTGCCTAGGATCAAAGGTAAACTAGCAAAAACAAAATAGTGAAAAATGTAATTGAATAAAAAGATATTGTAAATAAATAAATAAAAGCATATATATAATTTATTATTATTATTTTATTTTTTTTTGCTTAGAAAGGCTGTGTTTGAACCTCTGTTGCCTTCATGGGTTTCTGGACCTTTCTGACCACATTGCTGTGTAGGAGGCTAAGAAAATAAAATACACAAATAAAGTACACTTCTCAAATACCTTGAACCTCCACCTTCAGGGAGGAGGTAAATAATTCCACCTCTCAATAAAAACAAATTACAAAGGCATTTTTTCATTCCCGTAGCTGTAAGCCTAATAAGGACAATGCCTGACTCTGTGAGGGGAGGTGAATTGTGGGGTTACTGAGTGCATATTGTCAGTCCTGATTTAATGAGGCTATATTGTTTGTCTAGTATTTGTCTTATTACTTATAATGTGCAATAAGTGGCATTGTATTTATCATTTTATAGATTTATACTGGACTATTTTTTTTTTTTGATGGAATTTTCCATTAAGGCTGTAGATAACTTCTCTAGTTCTCATCAACCTCAGTTTGCTCATTTAAAAGCACAATTTACAAGCAAAACTGTGAAATAAACATTATAAAATTTTGGAATCTGTATCAGACTATGGTTTTACTGAAAATAAATAATCTGATATAAATTAAAATTAAAAATCTTAATTATAAAAATTTACTAAATATTAAGGATGCACTGATTTGGGCATTTTTACTAACACGGGTATCATTATATGCCAAACATGCCCAAATTGGTGCATTCATAATTTATTTTTATTTTTTATATAATTTTGTAAATCATAATATATGCAATTGATTTCATTTGAAAGAATATTCAATATTTAATCATATAATTAATATAATCTTTAATTAACTATCATCATAGTAATCTTAATTATTAGTGTCATTTTTAAATGATTATTTTATGAAAAAAATGCAGTTAGTTATTTAATAAAATTTTATCCCACATTCATGGTTTCTGAGGTTCCTGAGAATTACATTAAGAGGCAGATGAAATGTGATTGTCTATAATAGCTATCAAAAATTAAATAAAATTGTGTATGCTGCTATGTGAATGGGCTAGTAACTTATCATCCTTTCCAACTAACTGAAGGTAATAATTGTAACTTTCTACTAATTCCCATCATCACATATACATACAGCATAAAAACTGTGACAACAAATAACAGCAATCACATCACAATTATAGCAACATCAGAACAAGACAATCAATTACACACACATATGCAGAACTTTAGTTTACCTCTTATCTCAAGCTCTCTCTTACCATCTAAGAACAGGAACTTCTGGAGAGGAAACCCGGAAAACCTGAACATTTGGGAGACAGAAAGAGAGGAGAAAACTGTATGAGTATTTTTTTTTCATCTCGTAAAATTTTGAGCAAAGGAAAAAAAAAAACATTGAGGAGAACACATTTCTGTGTGAAGAAGTTAAAAAAAATTCACTCTTATTCAATTTAACAGAGATACTAACTGAACATGTGAGGTAAGTGTACAAAGGGTTGTTAAGGTCTATAAGAATGTTACTTCCTCTCAGTCTGCCATTCTCTCCTCAGAGGGAAAAAGAGAAATATGTCTCCACTGACATTTGAAGCATTAAACGTGTTCCATCTTAATCTACGGTTACTGGGTACATCCACAGCCCACAGATGCTGAATGAGGAAACTGAAGGACACACACACACACACACACACACACTCTCTCTCTCTCTCTCTCTCTCTCTCTCTCTCTCTCTCTCTCTCCCTCTCTTGCTAGCCAGAATCCTCTGGACAGAGAATAATCAACTGACTGGGTAACTAAACATATGTAAAATGAATACTCATGTTGAATCACTAGAGTATTGTGAAAAATGTGGTTCTTAAAAATAAAAAATAAAAAAACGCATTTGTAGGATTTGGTACATTCCTGAGTTTCTGTGAACTATGACTATGGCTCTTCTAAATCAAAAATACAACCAGCTTCAGTCCGTTCTGGCTGTGTATTGTGTCTGCACTGCGCAAGATGTGAGTAAGGTTCAAAGTTAACACTTGCCAAGCACCAAAAGTAAATGAAGTTGCTGGCCAGTTGGCCGATAACTTTATTTGAAATGGTGTGGTTTAAATCAGATTGTAAGAATGAGAGTCAACCCTCGCTTATGTAAGAGACAAGCATGATTCAAATGAAACTGTCTGCTGAAGAAAACACATGTGCCTTTTAACAACTTCCTCCTCTAGGATGCCTAAAGTCATTTTTTTTTTCTCCAGAGCTCCATGTGGTGACACATATGTGGAATATTCCTTACATTCAACTTCCAAAATGAACAGGAATAAAAGCACAGTACGTCTTCTTTTTTTTTTTTGCAAAAAAATATTTGCAAGTCATTTGCAAGTGACTCTCTGACCTGCACCGTTTATCACTAATATACAAGGATAAACAACTATATATATATATATATATATATATACATATATGTATGTATGGACACATGGTATATATATTGTCATGTGTATAGTCTGTTTTGGTTCTGTTCTCATTTGCCTGTGCTCCTGCTTAGTCTCCTTGGTTGATAATTAGTTCTCCACACCTGTTTTGTTTCTATTTTTATTATCCAATTTATATATAAGCCCTGAGTTCTCCTTAGTTCTTTGTCAATGTTTTATTTGGTTGTGTTTCTGTGACTTCTGATAGCACACCAAGTGGCAGATGACATAAATATATTAGGGCTGTCAGTCGATTACATTTTTTAATCTAATTAATTACATGATGTGTCGATTAATTAATCTAATTAATCACAAATTAAATTTGGCTGTGAAAATTCCCACAAAAGATTATTTAAAGCGATTATTGTGTTAAATGAAAAAAGTATCAAGTAGACATCACAAAGAGTAGCTTTAGAAATAAATATTTTATTTGATTCAACATGAAATTTATTACACATAAATGTTTAGGCTACAACGGCCTAACATAAATTATGGAACATAAAAGAAGGTAATTTCAGAAACTTCTCAGTATTTTTTTTTTTTTTTTTTCATGCAATGAAAGTCATTGGTAACCAAAATACCTTCTTTTGTGTTTCGCAAAAGAAAGTCATTCAGGATTGAAACGACATGAGGGTGAGTAAATGAAGACAGAATTTAAATGTTTGGGTGAACTATTCCTTTAAGGTCTTTTTTGTTTTGTTTTGTTTTTTAATAAAATTGTACTCTAAATAAGAAACTAAAACAAGCTGGTGGCTTTAAATGGTCTAGACTTCTCATCTGGTCTTTATGAGTCATTCATTCATTTGATTCGTTCAAACGGCTGATTCATTCAGGAATTAAGTAAACGGCTCTCTCTATCAATGGGCCTTTAAATCATTGGTTCACACGATTCGTTCAAAACGAGGATTCATTCAGAAACTAAACACCGCCGTTCTGTTCGGAGACGCACAACAATATATGGCTTTATAGGTAATATTTTTGTTGGCAAAATTGGGCAAAAACTAGGGGTTGAACGACTGTGTTTGAACCTCTGTTGCCTTCCTCGGTTTCTGGACCTTTCTGACCACATTGCTGTGTAGGGGGCTAAGAAAATAAAATACACAAATAAAGTACACTTCTCAAATACCTTGAACCTCCACCTTCAGGGAGGAGGTAAATAATTCCACCTCTCAATAAAAACAAATTACCAAGGCATTTTTTCATTCCCGTAGCTGTAAGCCTAATAAGGACGATGCTTGACTCTGTGAGGGAAGGTGCATTGTGGGGTTACTGAGTGCATATTGTCAGTCCTGATTTAATGACGCTATATTATTAATGTCACGAATCCGGTCCATGAACTTTCCATTTCATTGACTCTCGCACTACACACTGTTGCACATCACCCCGGACTACATTTCCCATCATGCATTGCACTGATTGCACTCAGCACGAATTGCACACACCTGTTTACACTGATTGCACCCAGCTGTTTCATATCACTTCCTCACTATTTAACACTCACTCTGTTCCCTTCCCTCTGCCGAGTATTGTCTTGAACCTCCACCTTCAGGGAGGAGGTAAATAATTCCACCTCTCAATAAAAACAAATTACCAAGGCATTTTTTCATTCCCGTAGCTGTAAGCCTAATAAGGACGATGCTTGACTCTGTGAGGGAAGGTGCATTGTGGGGTTACTGAGTGCATATTGTCAGTCCTGATTTAATGACGCTATATTATTAAGACTAAATTATGGTTTGTCTAGTATTTGTCTTATTACTTATAATGTGCAATAAGTGGTATTGTATTTATCATTTCATAGATTTATACTGTCATTTTAACTTTATAAAATGAGGATTCATTCAGAAACTAAACACGGCCGCGCTGCTCGAAGACGCACAACAATATATGGCTTTATAGGTAATATTTTTGTCTCGCGTCTGTAATGTGTGTGCGTTACAGTGCAGCAGCGCATTAGATTAGAACGGTGATTAATTTACCTACCTGTACAATAAGCGGTTTAAAACGTGTATTATCCCATTCAATTTCGAGCATCCAGTAATATAATCTCACATGTCTTGTGAAGCGCTTTCAGAGTATGCATTTATTTGTCATTTTAACTTTTTGGAAACGGAGCATAAATGTGGAAGTCCTTCAAAGATTTCTTATCCTGTTGCGCCCTCTATAGGACCAGCGACTAGTCGACGTCAAGCTTAAAGCATCATGGCAGAGCATTGAAGTCGACTAGTCGATTAGTCAGTGCAACCCCTAGCAAAAACAAACAATATTGTGTTTAAAATATAACATAATTTTAACTTCTTATGTACTGAACTGTTGTATAAAATCACATTTAAACTCCTGATATTCGTGCAAAAACAGCACTCGTGTGTAGGGTTGGGAACCGAGAACCGGTTCTTATTCAGAACCGGTTCTGTTTTTTGAAAAGAACCGGAACCGTGAGCAATTTCTAAGTTTCGGTTCCGAAAACGTTTCATATTCTAAATAACAGAAACGCCGCCCTGCCTCTTTAATTACAGAGCACATTGCTTCCCATGACGCGCCGCGTCTTTAACTGCCGAACACATCGTTTTCCACGATTCGCGTCTTTGATAACTGTTTACGTTGTTTTGTCTCACTGTACACGCAGCGCGCAGCTCCTGCCGCCACTAAATTACATTATATTTGTCCCATATTGTCATTAATATACATACTGACTTCAACTTGGACCACTAAATAAATAGACTGCTATTGTTATGTAAGTATGAGGGTTAGATTATTTAGTGTACAGGTCATTTCAAGAGTGATAAACAAAGTGATTTAAAGTGCATTTTAAATGTTTAAAAATGTGGAAACCACTCATTGCATCACACCATCTCCTGACTGCATTATTATTTGTAAAATAGGGGCTTTATGGAGTGTGTGTACACATGGTTATAAGTAGGGAGACCATACGTGCCATTTTCCCAGGACGCCTCCTGGCCAGGATTTGTTTTGGCTTTGTTTTCCTGTTTTCATGCTTGCTGAAGGTAATGATCGTTTTGTAAGTAGTTTGACCAATAACATGCAAGCATTGTACATTATGGACCAAATATGGTGTGTTTGAAGGTGGGATCTACGGTCAAAGCGATGCAATTACGCGTACATATTAGGTGTGTTCGACTTAAAAGCAGTGCGGCTCAGACCGATCAGTGTTTGACATCAAAGTACCTCGAGAGCGTTTCGAAAGCATAACCGTCTGTATGGTACTTTGATGTCATACACCGATCGGTCTGCACACTCAAACAAAGCCAAAACCTAGATATTTTAGGCAATATAGAAATCCTGGCCAGGACGCGTCCTGGGAAAATGGCACGTATGGTCACCCTAGTTATAAGTATAACAGTTAATATTTCATTAATTTAAGGAAATTAACAAGTGTCTTAGCCCTCAAGGGACTATTTGGCCAACCAGCTCATTCCTGCTTGAAAAGCAAAATGTTATTGATAGTGTAAAAAACATCAACTTTGAAGCACATGTGATTGATGGACTAGCATTACTCAACATTACTTACTACCTTCCAGCAACACTACATTCAATGAAGGTAAAATAGTAAAATAAAAATAATAATAATAATAATAGTTCATTTAAACGGAACCGGAATCGGAACCGGAACCGGAATCGTTAGGCAAAACTGGAACCGGAATCGAAACCGGAAAACTTCTAACGATACCCAACCCTACTCGTATATTATACAAAATATATATATAAAATATATAAAAATAAAGCAATTACCTACAGTTTCATGTGCAGTACGAAATACATATGGACAGCAAATCCTCTCAATTCCAATGGCATGTGGTGTTACCAAGCATAATCAAGAAACTGGTTATACTGC